CAATACTACTCCAAAATATACTTAGCTTATATGTTTGTAAAAAACAAAACTCTTTCTTTGAATTGAGATAATTACTCAAAACTTAGCTTAAAAGCTCTCTTGGAATCGATGTTCCCTTTCTTGCTCAAATGTGAAAACATTTATAAACTCTTTGGGAATAGTTAGTCCCTTAATAGCTTTTCATGAGAAATGAATTCAACTCTTACTCTTTTCTTTTATTGAAAGTTGAGCCTTAAAATGAAGTTAAAACGTTTAATAAAAACTTTTGAAAACTTTAAGAAACTTTACTTTGACTTGTTTCGTAACTTCTAAACTTGACTCTTAACTTCTTTGACTTTGATCTTAACTTTCCTTGAATTGGATTATGGATTCAAGGTTCATGATCTCATGTTTATGGATGATTTCATGATGTTTAGATGTACCTTAGAGTGTTAGAATCGACTAGGAAACATAGGTACATCACTTAGGAACTAGTACGGAAAGGTGGGAACCGAATGGGGAGAACTGGCGTCCCTGACGCTTTGAGAGGCGCGGGGGGCCAGCCCTCAAACTTCAGAGGGCTCTGGCTGGCGCGACGCGCCAGAGGCCAAAGTTCAGAGGAACTTTTGTGGCGCTCTGGCAGGCGTGACGCCCCAAGCCCTTGCCCAGAAAATTCCCGATTTTCTTCTTCGTTTTTCATCTCTAAACCCTCCAATCTTCCCTAGTTCTTTCCCCAAACACTTAGGATCAATTGTACTCTCAATACACCATCAATCTAACTCGAAAAACAGCCCAGAAACATGAATCAAATCAACCCCCAAGCATTAACAATTCAACCAACAAGAATTCTACAATTTGTTCTTCAAGAACCTCACTTTTCAACATGTGAACAACTCCAAACCAAGGGATTGAAACAAGTTGGTGTGTGGGTGAACTAACCCAGCACATAAATATCTCACATACCTTAATAGGGATCACCCCCGACGAATTTCACTCGCAAGCTTGACTGAATCTTGGCTTTTCTCCCTTTCTTTCTTCCTTGCTCTTTTCTCCAAGCCCTAAGCGTGAATATAATTTTCTAATCTGACCAAAATAAGCTTTTACCCCAATAAATACCTAAAAACGAATTAAGAAATTAATTAGAGAGAAGACTACTTTGCCCTTCCCTAAATCCGGATTGAGCCTTTCCTCAATCCAACAACCCAACTTCCGGAAGGCATATCTCACTCATACGATGTTAGAATTTCATAAACTCAGCGGCGTTGGAAAGATCTCTCCAAGGGCTTTCCAACCATATCAAGAGATGCTCCTAACTCTTCCTGAGCTAGGAGTTATGGACGTTTGAAAATGGCCAAAACTCACTTTCTTACCTTAGACAATTTCCAGATTTCCTTATTCTTTCCAAAAATCAATATTTTCATATTTAATCTCTTTATAGTCGTTTGTAGGTGCGAGATGTTACAAAGTTATCCCAAACATGACAACCAAACAAGAAACCAAAATTTTATCCCATGACTATTATTTTATCCATGAGTTAAGTAATGAAAAAATTACGTTAATGAGGTGGTCAGGTGAAGGGTGATGGTGTTATATTTGAAGGCTAAGATAACACGGTATAAATATAATTATTTAACTTATCAATGAGCTATTGATTAATGTGTTAAGAAAAACTATTAAAATTCGATAACTCGTTAATAATAAAGTCAAAATTATTATCAAAATCACAAAATCAATAATTTATTATAAATAAATCAATATATTTTTTCAATTCAATTTAAACGGTCCTACTTATAGTCATGGGTGTAGCTAGAGCTACTTAAACGGTCCTATTTTATGTCATTCGTCGGAAAATGGAGTTGTATATAAATGTTAAATTCTAAATTTAAAAAAAATATATTTAAAGTTGAACACCTTTTACAAAAGTTATATTTTTAACGTAATAATAATAGGTGTCTGTTTAAATGATTTTTTCTTAATCCAAATTCAAATACATAATATTTTTGGCTTCGCCACTATGACCCGGAGACAAAGTTCAACGGAAGATTTTATGTATGGGCAGATTTGTGGTGTGGGCGCCCTGTTTTCGGACAATGAGCCCCTGCACCTTTCTTGGGAATTGATTTTCCCTATCACTCTATTTGGATAGATGATTGTTACGTTTAACTCGTATTAGTTTCGATTTTATATTAAGTGAATTCGTAAGATAATATATATTTATTAAAATAAATTTTTAAATATATAATTTAAATTATATTATTATTAATATTACTGAAATCATGAATATAACTTTATAAATATTGTAATTTACTTACTAAAAAAATTTAAACTTTAATAATGAAAAGAATTTAAATATCTACTTTGAATGATTCAATTTTTTTGGACAATAAGAAAACCCTCAAAATTTCACATAATACGAAGTAGAGGGAATATTTTAATAAGAAAATAGGGTGACACATACATCCAACTGAATTTATGTTGATAGTCTGAATAATACTGATAAATGAAATAGCTCATAAATACTAAAAATTGAAATTGAACTAGACCGAATTTATATTTATCTTAAAGCATTTTCAAACATGTAAAACTAAAAGACGGAATGTAAAACTACTCATTGTGATTTTGAATTTCAAATTTTAAAAGATACATTCAAATCTATTTTTCAATTTTATTATATTTACAAGTCCTAAAAAAAATATTCTTTTTACTCTACAAAAATTAAATCAAACACAACTTCATTTTTAATTTTTAACTTTACAAATTTTAAATAAAATAAAGGGAATAAGAAGATATATAAAATTATGACCAAATGTCTACACAATCATTTAAATTTGCCTACATTAATCTCTTGATTTTCATTCTTTCATAATTATTCTAAATCAATTTTATTGATCTTATAAAATGACAATTTATTCTTAGAAAAAAGTATTTTCAAGAATATCAATGCAAAGATTTTTCTGAGTTCTGACTCCGCCTACGCCTTGGGGCAAAATATTTATTGGGACTCTTTCCGTTGTATGTTTACGGTATTAAAAATATCTTTTTTATTTTTATTAATTTATTTTAGCATTTATTGTATTTAATTTTTTTATTTTTTGTTAGTCCAATTTAGCATATTAATGAGAAAATGCACTATTAATTAGAGCTGCGTATCGGTCGATTCGATTCGATTTTGGAATTTATCAATTATTGGTTTGTAATCATGCTAAACCGTTATGGAACCGTTAAGCTATCAGTTTATCAGTTAATGACTGTTATCGGTTCGGTTATCAGGTTAACCGTTAACAGTTCACACAATTTTCATTGACAATTACTAATGGACAAATCATTAATTAACAGTACGCAGTAGACAATAGTCATTGATAAACTTTTCCCTATTAGTCCATCACTACATAAAACACTTAATAAAACTCCATATTAACATGGACAGAGATGTCAATATTGCCCAAACTGACAAACTCAAAAGGATTCCTCATAACAACCAAGCCAATTTCAATATGAACTATAAAGAGAAACCATTACAACACTACTAACAGAAACCATTAATGATCATGAGACCATTACTAATAAAAACTTTTTCATTGCAGATTGTAGTATTGCAATATTGCATGCATATCTCACTGACTCACTCACTGTAATGAGAAGATAAAAACAAAGACTTAAAGTAAGGGAACCAACCATTTGAACCTCAATTTAGACACTTTAGAGAATGATATTCAATATAACTTGCTAGTGTGGGAGCAGTGACAGTGAATCAATGAGTGATGTCGCAGCTTTGAAATATTATTGTTAAATTTGAGTGTCAACTATGAAGTCATGGTAAAGAGTCTGAAAACTGAAGTGTAAACCCTAAAGGCTAAAAGTGCCTAAGGCTTTAAGTGATATAAATGTAATTAATTAAATTTCATATCGAGTTATTGGGACACCCGATTAGAAATATGGCCAAATCGAGACTCGAACCGATAAGCCGGTAAGAAGTTTATAGTAAATCGAGACCCGAACCGTTAAACTATTAACCCGAACTATTGACCCAATAACCAAATTATCAGTTCGGATTATCGGTTTCAGTTCGATTTTGAACAACCCTACTATTAATATGAAAATATGATCAATACATATATTTTATTTATTATTTTTTTAAAAGTGTAAATTTCATGTAAATAAAGTAAAAAGGTTGAAGTGTGTGACCATAAGCATGTGAAAATTCCTTTTTGATTTGGGTGGTTGTGAGATTTGATCTCAGGATCTCTGACTACTTGAAATATGTGATCATCTTATCTAAAATCTTAAGCTGTTAGAGAGAGTACAAATCTATTATTTAATTATATTCTCAACAAAATAAACCAATGAAATAAGTATTAGTTTGTCTTTCTTTACATAGTAATTTGCAATTTGTTATACAATATATAGGTATACGTTCTCAGTTTTTGATAGTTTCTTTACTGCTTTAATTTACGTATCACATATATATAATCTTGTTTAATACTATATATATCTCCCGAGACAGAGTATGGTGGTCTTTTTTTATTTTTTTCATTTGGTGTTCAATATTTATATTAAAATCTGATTGTTTTATTTTCGGCTTTTCACAATCTAATATATATATATAAGGAGAGACATGAACAAAATAAGATAGTAGTAAAATGACGCATTATTTTGAAAGATTTGGATTGTAATACAACGTAACCAACCCCAAATGTTTCATTACAAAACTCCTAACTATAAATGACACAAAATAAATAAAACTAGATCCATGCATAAACAGGATCAAACTAATTAACTCCACCCCATCTTTATTATTCTTCGATCTCCTCATGAAACTCTACCTAGCTAGCTACTTCCATATTGCACTGATTATTTGCCTTACTGAACCCTGCATTTATTAAATACCATATTAACCAAGTAAATTAAAACATAGTATATAGTTACGTATAATATGACTAATATTTTAACAAGTACTTAAAAAAAAAACTCCATAATTTATGACAACACAAATATCTAAGAATTGTTTTAGACAGTGTCAGTTACCTAGTGCAGTCGGTGGAGGGGCTAATCTTGTAAGGGATGTTTACGCCACAAACGCTAGGAATACCAGCAGCTTTACCAGCATCAATACCCTTAATAGCAGTAGCGGCTGATTTTAGGCAATTGCATGCCATTTTTCGGTCGGCTGGAGTCTTGGCTGCACCCAAAAGACCCTTAATTCCGCCACAGCACCCTCCGAGGGGGCCGCGGCCGGTAAGATAAGGGAGGCAAGGAGCTACGCCAGATGTAACCTGACCACAAGTCATTGCCGCCTCTGCATGGGGTGCAACCAGTATGGCCACCATGCATAAAACAACAATGCATGCAATTTTGCCAACCATTTCCATGCTTAATGAAAAAAAGATATTAGAATATTGCAAATGTAATGTGTTTTGCTTGAGTGTTGTGTGCAAAAGATAAGTGAGATTTTTGGGTATTTATAGAGGCAAAAATATGAAGTGAATAATTAATGGAAGAGTGATAGAATTTGTTGGTAGTTGAGGTTAAATTCAATAACGCTTTTCGAGGCTACACATGTTACTCTCTTTTTTACCTTTTCGATATACGTGATGATAATTGAAACTGAGACTTCATGATTTATTGGGACTTATGTTGGATATCCACTTTTTAAAAGAAAATATTTATTTTATTAACTTAGTTTTATTATGTTTTAATAGTATAAAATTTAATTATTAGTATTTTATGTGATTATTTAATGATAAGATTTAGTATCAAAAGAAAACTATAAGTTTGTTTTAATTTGCTAAAATAAAAAAATACTACACCCGTTCACTTTTATTTGTCATGTTACGTTTTTCAAAAGTTAATTTCACTAATTTTTAAAGCTAAACTAGATTACATTAATTTGATATTTTAAACAAAAAAAAATAGATATTCAAAAACTATATTAAAAATACTATAAATTGCAATATCTTGCATATCAATATGATGAAAAAAATACATCATTAAATATTATCAAAGTTCTTATATTAAAGTTCTTATAGTTTGACTCTAAAAAAGGAAATTATGACAATTAAAAATAGACGAATAGAGTAATTTTTAGTATGAGAATCAAGTACTATAATAAATGGAGAGAGTACAATGTTTAAGGAATGAACTTCTTTTTGAAAAGGATTAAAGAAAAAAAAAAAAACAAATGAATTGAAATAGAAAGTTTACTTTCCAATGACTTATAATTAATAGGATAATATATATAAAATAATTATTCTATTTCTTATTTTTGAAAAATATAGCAAATAAATATGAATAAATTAAAATGAATGGTGAAAATATTTTGTGCTGCTACTCTCCATTCAACTTTCAAGGAACTGATTTTTCAGGGTGAAAATATAATGTGATCAACGTAACACACTCTTCTAGGAGAGAGGTGTGTGTCATAGAGTATGAAATACTACCAATCAATGCGACAACAATTCATGAATATGTTATCTGCAGCGAAATCATAAATTTTGTTAAGAATAACCAAAATTTAATATATATACATATGAAAAATAATTTATAATCTATGCACTTCGTATAATTCTTTTTTATATATATTATATAATTTTTTAATAGATGGTGTCCAATTGATAATCGTGAGCTATATATGGCTACGCAACTGAATATGACATTCTCACACGTCTCACGTACCCACCATTATATAGCCATTGGGCCAGGGGCGGCTCAACATAATTCGAGGCCTAAAACAAAATTTTAATTAGAGGCCTAAAATTTAAATAAATTTTATCTGTATTTATTTATTTTTCTAAATTTCTAGATGTAAATTACTACTTAATATCTTTTTTATAAATGATTTTTTCAAATAATTTTTTTAATTATTAATTTTAGGAAGGATTTTATCAATTCAACATTGAAAAGAATTATTTTATTGAGACAAATATTATATGAATCGATAACATAGTTCTATAAGTAATAAGTTGATAAATTTTAAATAAAGATAAGAGTTAGAATCATAGAATATGATTCAGAAAGATGATAACTTGGTGTACCCTACTTTAATATGAGAAGTTACGACGAAATAAGAAAATATTTGTAATTTACTTTGTTCAACACTTTTCAGCTATTGATTCATATTTTTTGATAGAGTATTACTCTAACTATCAAAGATTTGAAGAAATAGAGTGCAGAAAGAGTTAAAAAGGATAAATAATATGAATGTTAGCAAAGAAAATAATATATATATATATATATAAATAATTACTTTTTATTATAAATAATTAATTTTTTTTCATGAATAAATTAAATATGATTTAAGAAATTTGAGGCCCCCAAATTAGGCATTGGCCTTAAAATTTATAGGCAAGAGCCGACACTGCATTGGGCCAACTTACACTTTATGGAAAGTGGCCAGCGGTCACAAGATTTTTTTAAAAAAAGAAAATAATTTTTATACTGAGCCAATGGACAGATGGACCGGTTACCGGGCCGGTCTAACTGGGCTAATGCCCCATCCGGCTACCGGTCTGGTCTAATCGGCCGATCCCTTATTGGGCCGGTCTAACCGGGCCGATCCGATCCACTTAACAGGCTTAATGCTATCAGTGAGAAATTGTGTAATATAATAAGGACCGATAGTGATTATAATAGAAAATTACTTATGAGAACCAGTTCCTTTAACATGTCTACAACAAGAATTATAAACCTTTATATACCTAGTGATTTATTTATGTACTAGGGCATTAATGGAGTTGTCAACAATCACAAGTATTGTATAAGGGAAATGGCAGCATAAAATAACGTAACACATGTTTTTATTTAATTAATATAAGCAACAACCAAATAAGATAGAACTATAGATTATTTATGTATATTTTATTATATATACATGAAGATTGGATTGTTGAAGAAGCAACAACCAAAGTTTCATTACAAGACACTGACTAGCTATATATGACTCCAAATTAAAAGACACTAAATAATAAAAAGAAACACAGATCGATACAAAATACAAAACAGGATCAAACTAGCTCGATCCCTTTTATTCTTCTCCTGACCATAATGAAATATATAGTGACTTTCATATTGTGTAGTGGATCAGCTTTCATCAGCCTTACTGGACCCTGCATCCCCATATTAAACCAACATTAGCAACTTAAAATACTTATAAAAATGCACTTTGGTCTGTAAACATGTCATGTGAAAAAGTTAGAATTAAACATGTTAGTACATCTCCTTCTATAACATATTAAACGTACGATAGTATCACAAAATAATTACTATATAGTATAAACTTATAAATTAACGTACTTGGAGCAGTCAATGGAGGGGCTAATATCGTAAGGGATGTTAACGCCACAAGTACTAGGGAGACCAGCGGCTCTGCCGGTATCAAGTCCCTTAACAGCATTAGCTACTGTTTTTATACAAGTGCATATTGTGCTTCGGTCAGCTGGGGTCTTGGCTGCACCCAACAGACTCTTAACACCACCGCAACAACCTCCTAGAGGGCCGCGGCCTTGAAGATAAGGGACGCAAGGAGCCAAGCTAGATGAAACTTGGCTGCAGCTCATTGCCTCTGCATGGGGTGCAACCACCACCATGCACAAAAACACAAAGCATACAATTTTGCTAACCATTTCCATGTTTATATCAAATGTAATGTATTTGCTTGAGTGTTGGGTGCAAAAGCTAGTGAGATGTTAGGGGTTTTTATAGGAAGTAATTGATTAATGGAGTGATGATGAGAGAATTAGTTGGTGGTTGAGGTAAATAGAGAGCTTGTCCTTTCTTCTTTTTATTATTATCTAGTTCACTTAGTTTTGGTGACCTACTTTTAAATTATTTATGTGTTTAAATTTGATGTGCTTTAGTTTGATTGGTTAACGAAGAAGAATTTTGCATCTTATTATACTACACATAAAAAATGATCCATTTTGAGGTAATTAAAATATGTTTTTAGGGGTAATTACTGATGAATGTCGATATTAAATTTAATGACAATTAATTAATGTTGATAAAGATTTTGACACTCTTGTTAATGTGTATATCTATTGTCACTAAAAGCTATTTTTATTCTAGTGTTATTTAACGTAAATAAATATATATGTCAAAAGTATTATAACTTATTGATACATGCATGGAAGAAAAACTGTTTCTCCATCCATTTAAAGTAGTTTTAAAGATTTATCAAACACTTAATTTTTCAAAAAAATAATATTTTTAACCTTCGAACAACAATACCAAACAAGCTTGTAATATCCTCGATCAAATAAAGTGGATATTTTCGTCTTCTCTAGTCAATTGCATCATGTACAATGTACAATGATGAAATGGACACATAATTCCAATCTAATAGTCGACGGAGACGTGTTGAATATGTCATGCTCACTAGTCTCACCTATCCACCAAATTCATTTATGGCGTGCTTTTAACTAGAGATTTCAAATTTCGATCTTCCTAATATGAACTTGCTTTTATTAAGAAACTTTTTATATCCTGAATATTAAAAAAAGCTTTTAACTATACCCTGAATACTAAAAAAGTGATATTTTCATAATATAACTTTATTTGAAAAATAACTAATAAATAGGAATAACATAATAAGTAGTAAGTAACCTATACTTTTTTTTTTCAATGGACGTGAAAAGCTAAATTGATGGTTAAAATATGTTCGGGGTACTTTACAATCAAGTAATTACACAATTAAGTGTAATATATTCTTTTAAAAATATTGTTTAGTTCAATCTTTCACTGTTCAAAATTAAGTTATTCAACTAATTTGGCTTCACACAAGGGAAAGTTTTCTAAAAGAAAACACTATATATATATATAGTGTAAATTTCTTCATTTCGTGACACTAATTTAATACTCCCTCCGTTTAAAAAAGAATGACCTAGTTTTCTTTTTAGTCTGTTTCAAAAGAATGAAGTTTTTCTTTTTTTGGCTACACTTCAACTTCAACTTTTCACGTGGCATGTTTAAGACCACAAGATTAAAGGGCATTATGGTATATTTGACATAACATTAATTTAGACCCACAAGTTTAAAGGACATTTTGGTACATTTGACATAACATTAATTTAGAACCACAAGATTAAAAAGTCTTATTTCTTTTCTTAAACTCTATTTCAAGTCAAACTAGGTTATTCTTTTTTAAACGGAGGGAGTATTAATTAAGAAAGGAATTCAAAGAAATATTTGACACACAGCTCCTTGCGCCTTAACTAAAAGTGAGGAATAATGAAGTTTCTATATTATATTGAATACATCATACATGTATAATGTATTGTTTGCCTATAAAGTCTGTTTATTTTGATTTTACATTGAATGTTTCATACACATCTTTTATGAATATGAATTATCTTTATTATTGTGTATTCAATTTTCATATTCTTTATATATTGCATAGATATATTATAATATAATTAAGGTTAGATAATTAAATATGAATCAACATTCGTAGTGTAAATACATGGCCTCATATATAGAATCACAATGAAATATCATCAATTAAAATTGCAATTTGAGTAGATTTTAAATCTTCATAATTGACTGTTATGGCGGTTTTTTTTTTTTAAAACCCGCAATTACGTGCACCAAATATTGGTACCGGCCGTTTAAACAAACCCCGCAATCTTTGTGCAATAAAATTGCGGCGTATGCAATATATATTTTTTTTGGGATAACTCGACAAATAATTAAATTTTATTTTGTCTATAACCTCCTCAATACTTTATAGTGAAACTTTAGTATTTAATTTTATAGAAATTTTATTGCATGGTTATATCAAACTAAGATTGATGTCAATTTAGTAATTAAACCATTAAAAATTTGTATCAATATTATAAGCCATTATTCACGGTACAACTTTAAACCAAAATAATTAATGTGAAAGCCTTGGAAAAAGGGAAACTTTATAATTCGTCTCTACTCCATAGCTAAATGGTACTCCCTCTATCCTTATTTACTTGTCCACTTTTCCTTTTATAGTTGTTCCTAATTACTTGTCCATTTTGACAAATCAAGAATGAACATTTTTTTCCTATTATACCCTCAATTAATTACTTTGAAAAAGGTAGAACCGTTTGAAAATACTAAATTTTTAATTCATCCACTTCATAATTAATAGGGGTAAAATGGTAAACTCACTATGTCAATAATTATTTTCTTAATAGGTGTGGCAATTCAAAAGTTGACAAGTAATTAGGGATAATATTAATATGAAGTTTTTATCGTTTAGATACGAAATTTTGTCTATTCTAATTTAATGTTTCGTAGTAACATTAAAATTAAAAAAAAAGTTGAAAGAAGGAATTAAATTCACAACATTGGACTAAGAAAGATAGTTGGATATGTATTACCAATATTGAGTTGTAGTACAATACAAGGCTCGAAAATGACTCCCAAAGATGGACACAAATAAAAAAAAAAACAAGAAAAAGATACAACATTAGTAATGGATCCATGAGCATGCAAGATCAAACTCGATCCATCTTATTATTATTACTTCTCCACAAGCTACATTGCATTGGAAAAATTGAGCTTTCATCGATCAGCCTCACTGGATCCTGCATGTGCCCAAATTAAACCAACATTAACAAATAAACTTAACTGACTATGTCCAAAAAAATATGCACCGTCCTTCGTAAATAGGTATTGTAGGATATATAGCAGAAAGAATTTAAGTTATATATATTTGATAGTTAATATGATTTAATCATATTATATTATTTTATTCTAACTCAATTTAATTTGATAGTATTAAAAACATACTTGGAGCAGTCAGTGGAGGGGCTGATCTTGTAAGGAATGTTTACGCCACAAGCACTAGGGATGCCAGCGGCTTTGCCCACATCAATGCCTTTAATAGCACTAGCGGCTGATTTGAGGCAAGTGCATGCCGCCTTTCGATCCGCTGGAGTCTTGGCTGCACCCAACAGACCCTTAATACCACCACAACACCCTCCTAGAGGGCCGCGTCCCTGGAGATAAGGCAGGCATGGAGCCAAGCCAGATGTAACCTGGCCGCAGCTTAGTGCCTCTGCATGGGGTGCAACCACCACCATGCACAAAAGAACAAAGCATGCAATTTTGCCAAACATTTCCATTGTTACAAAAATTGAGTAAAGATCGATAGAAATTTATAGTAGAGAATGATATAGTACTGCAAATGTATTTGTTTTGAGTGTTGGGTGCAAAAGCTAGTGAGAACTTTGAGTATTTATAGAGAGTAAATTAATTAATGGAGGAATATTGAGAGAATTAGTTGAGAGTTGAGTTAAATCAAATGATGGTGTATAATAATTAGGGAGGTGCCCATAAAGTCAAGTTTAGTTGTTACGTGACTAATTTTTATTGAACCACGCTATATACGATTTAGGGCCCTTGGTAACCTACTTTGCAGTATATGACTTGATAAATATATTTCCACCTCCGTTCATTGTATCGGTTCATTATACTAAAAGAATATATTCATTTTACTTTTCACGTTTCATATATTAAGATTTTTATTTTCATATTATTAATTACTTATATATTCTCCAAATAATTTTTTTAGACATAAAATTATTTATAATAAAATATTCATATAAATTATTGTTTATTTAGGGACGTGCAATATCCAAAATAGACAAGTGCAAGTGAACTGATGTAGTAGTGGTAAAATTTGAATGGATATCTCCTCAAAAATAGGTAATAATGAGTCGTTTGGTAGAATATATTAGAAGAAATATTGTATTTATTATCTTTCTGTATTAATTAGTAGTATATACCTTGCTTGCTTACAACTTTTCAACTTATTATGTATAGAGGCGTGTTTTACAAATATATATATTAGCATGATTATCGACCCAATTGCCCAAAACATTATATACCTTTTTCATCAGATTTGTGGACAATAGAAATGCATAGTATTTTTGATATACCAAGACAAATAATGCATAAGAAATGATTTTTGTATATAAATAATATTAACATAACCAATACAAAAATTACTAATATCTTATTTAAACATTATTCTTATACATCCTATCAAAACGTCCCACTATAACACCTACCTAGGCACTTTACATCCTTTTCCACCTTATAAATTTTATAATGGCCCATTCATTTTCTTGTGCAATGTTCAGTGAGGGGACTCTGACTGCCCATATCTAAATACATCTCAAGAAAACCTTTTTGAGATGTGCGTTTTCATGGCATGCATTAAGTTCACTGTCCTTATGGATTTGATCTATTTATGCTTCGTAAAAATGATTTTTAGCAACAATTAATTAATAATAATAGTTTTATTATTATTAAATATATATTTTTAGCAGCATCGAACACTTTTTATAAATGTTTCTAAACCTATCGTGACATTAAATTCACTGACATTTAACTATTGTCGATAAAAATCACTTTAATATACTCTTTGTTAATATATATATTCATTGGCTAAATATTATTTTTATTGTACTGTTGCACTCTATTTTATTTGGAGAAAATTTTCTTTTCAATGTGTTGTTAACGTATCTATATCATCACTTGGAATTTAGATCGAGGAGAAAGAAGAATTTTTACTTCCTTCCTTGCCTTTCTCTCCAACCAAACAAAGAACAAATGTTATATTGCTTTTAGTATATGATACAACAAATTAGTTTTT